CATGTATAGGTGGGGGGGTTGTTCATTGTTTACTGTCACGTGGTCCCATTGTTCTATTGTGTGTCTTGCTTGGGAGCAAACTATTATGGGATATATGTGTTTGTACTGGCTTGATGGGGGGGTGTTTCCGGCAGCCCTTCCCCCTAATGGGACAGCCTGCTGATGTGTTTCCTGTTACTGGGTGTATTTCCCCGCCTTGTGTATATATCTTGTATCTATGTTAAAATAAAGCACTCCACTTCCTGTTTTAAGACAAGTCTGGTGCTGTCTCGTCCTGTATGGTCAGCGGTGGTGTCCGTGGATCTGTGTTCAGTCAGGGAAGCGGGAGTCTAACGGACATACCCTAGTGGGTCCGGTTCTGTTACAAAGTCCAAAGGCATTCTAGAGCACTTCATGCTTCCCTCTGCTGACCAGCTTTATGGAGCAGGTCAGCAGAGGGACTTGGCACCTGCCCACACGGCCAATAGTACCAATATCTGGTTTAATGATCATGGGATCACTGTGCTTGATTGGCCAGCAAACTCGCCTGACCTGAACCCCATAGAGAATCTATGGGATATTGTCAAGAGGAATATGAAACACCAGACCCAACAATGCAGACGAGGTGAAGGCCACTATCAAAGCAACCTGGGCTTCCGCAGTGCTACAGGCTGATCGCCTCCAAGCCACGTCGCATTGATGCAGTAATTCCTGCAAAATGAGCTCCAACCAAGTATTGAGTGCATACTATACTGTACATGGGCATACATTTCAGTAAAAGTTACAGAATTTTGGGTTTTCAGTAGCTGTAAGTCATAATCATCAAAATTAAAAGAAAGAGAAATTCTTGAAATATATCACTTTTCTGTGTAATGAATCTATATAATGTATGAATTGCACTTTTTGAATTTAAAACTGAAATACATTAAGTGTTGATATTCTAATAATAAGACGTTCTCATTTCTTGAGATGCACCTGTATACTCCCCGATCACTCGCATACGACTTTCATTTCCCAAACACCAACCATTTGCCATCAGGAAATAAGTATTTCTTTTTTTTAACTGAACAAGCAAAATACTCTACTGATCTTTTCTTTCCTCCTTCCAGAACAGAATGTGTTAACTGAAAGTTAAAGTTTGTTCAGATGAAATCTAATTTGTGACAGCAAGGGATTCTGGGAGATGGATCCCTGATGAGCTCCACATGATGCTTAATGAAGTTATTGAATTATGGATTGATTTTAAATGATGTTTTCGGGCCCTTTGCAGTGTAGATCTGCTCCATTCACACATTAACGTCTCCATCTGTAGTGGGTGCACGGTCCATCCAGGGAGACGCCATTACCCCATAGTATTGCTACGTTGGCTGTACAAAAGCTCCTCAACTGATGTAGGCCTTCATATTATTCTTTAAGTGCAATTCCCTCCAGACCAATATTTCTCAACCTTATTACACCAAAGGAACTCCTAAAATAATCTTCAGGTTTCTTAAATCAAATGCCTTTTAGATTGGTGGTCAGAAGAATGAATGCAATTCTTGAAATGGTGGTAAGGGAGAAAAATGCTCCTTATATTGCTGGTCAGTGAGAAGAATGCTCCTTCCATTGGTGATCAGTGAGAAGAATGCTCCTTCCATTGGTGGTCAGTGGGAAGAGTTACCTTTACATTGGTGGTTAGTGGGAAGAATACTCCTTACATTGGTGATCAGTGGGAAGAATGCTCCTTACATTGGTGGTCAGTGGGAAGATTGGTCCTTACCTTGGTGTCCACTGGGATGATTGCTCCCTACATTGGTGGTCAGTGAGAAGAATTCCCCTTACATTGGTGGTCATTGAGAAGAATTCCCCTTACAATGATGGTCTGTGGGAAGAATGTTCCTTACATTGGTGGCCAGTGGGAAAAATACCCTTTATGTAGGTGGTCGGTGGAGAGAATGCTCCTTACATTGGTGGCCACTAGGGAGAAAGCTCCTTACATTGGTGGCCACTAGGGAGAAAGCTCCTTACATTGGTGGCCACTAGGGAGAAAGCTCCTTACATTGGTGGTCAGTGGGAAGATTGGTCCTTACCTTGGTGGCCACTGGGAGGATTGCGCCCTACATTGGTGGTCAGTGAGAAGAATGCTCCTTACATTGGTGGTCATTGAGAAGAATTCCCCTTACATTGATGGTCTGTGGGAAGAATGCTCCTTACATTGGTGGCCACTGGGGAGAATGCTCCATACATTGTTACATTGTTGGTCAGTGAGAAGAATGCCCCTTACATTGATGGTCAGTGGGAAGAATGCCCTTTATATAGGTGGTCAGTGGGGAAAATGCTCCTTCCATTGGTGGCCACTAGGGAGAATGCTCCTTACATTGGTGGTCAGTGAGAAGCATGAACAGACCGTGAAAAGGATAATTGGTGTCATGGTGCTGGTGTTGCCATGGGAGTGGACTCAAAACGTTGCATCCTCTGGAAGCATCCTGCTGAGAATGGCTAGTCTAGAAAGAGAACAGTTTCTAAATAGGGACTGGTTTACCTGCCATTGAATTGTAAGTGAATACTCCCAGTGAACCTTTTGCCATCCACCATTATGTTGTGATACTCAAGCTTTCTCCTTGAGATCCCATTATGAACCTCCACCCTACCCATCAGCTTACACAGCAGCTCCACCCACTGCAAGCCTGATTTCAACTGTCACATTACGTGTTACAAATCATATCTACAAAAGCTGACCTGAAAACAGGATCTTAGGCAGTAGGGTGGTCAGCAGAGAGGTCTGTGACACTTGTAGGTCTCCTTTGAAATGATAGAAGAACAAACTGAGACCAATAGTTTTTCTGATTATTCTGCATTTATTTGAATAAAAAGCCCAAAGTTGGATTTTTTCTTTAAAAGCTACTTAAAAGTGGAATACATTCATTTTCATTCATTCCCAATCTGTAATATATTCTTTGTAAATATTCCTGTCCATAAAAAATAGTCTTTTACTGCAGAAAAACTCGATCTTGCAGTGATATTCACATATAAAGATGATATTAAATGTTCATGAAATGTATAAATGATCTTTACATCCCAACTGATTCATTGCTTTTCTATAGAAGTGATTTCAGCTGTTGCTCCGCCCTCTACAGACAATTTGAACACTTTTTAATTCAATTGAATGTATTTTTTTCCTTGGAAACCTCCCAGATCATTATATGGATTCGTTAAATGTGGTTAGTTATGACGAAACGGGGAATTGGCGGAAAAATCAATTGGCGTGACCTATTCAGGAATGATTATGCAAGGTAGATGGGATCAGAGGAAGCCCCCCCACCCCCTACAGCAGTGTTTCTCAACTCCAGTCCTCATGGACCCCCAACAGGTCATGTTTTCAGGATTTCCCTCAGATGAAACAGCTGTGGTAATTACTAAGGCAGTGAAACTGATCAAATCACCTGTGCAAAATAATGGAAATCCTGAAAACATGACCTGTTGGGTGTCCATGAGGACTGGAGTTGAGAAACACTGCCCTACAGCAATGAGCGTCTGCTGTGATCGGACCAAGTTTTGCCCAGCCACATCCGGCCTTGTTTACATGGGTGTACTATAGCGCACACCCATACTAGGGCGGTGTATAACCACATGGGGATGCACAGGAGTTTCGTCTATGCAATTACATTAATGTCAATTGGAACGCAAGGTGGAAACAGCCACTGCTGACAATTTGACATACATTTGGACCAGGGACGGACTGACCATTTGGAAACTCGGGCACTGCCCGAGGGCCCGGGGTCAGTAGGGGGCCCCATGAGATGCCCCTGGTACCTCTTTCATAGGCTTTTTTGAGTTTGGGCAAGGACACAGGGGCCCCATGATCCCCTATTGCCCGGGGGCCCCATGAGTTGTCAGTCCGCCCCTGATTTGGACACACTGTCTGTGTTTGGGGCCGTGCACCTGCATGGCTGTCAGATCGGAAGCAATGGCTGTGTCCGTGCAGCCGCTGCGTCCTCTGCGTCCCTGCAGGACTGCCTGTATGAGGATGCACGGAGCACCTGTACATCCCAATGCGGGTAAACACGACCAACGCACGGGTGTATACTATAGTGCGAGGACAAACTGTACTTGGGTGTCAGATCCTTTGGAGGCTAATAAGAGAGAGACTCCAAGATGGTTTTTTTTTTTATCTAGGTGGCAACGGGGAGATAAAATGCTGGTCAGCTGATTGCCTACCTACAAACAAAATGAAGACCGTTAAGGTCTATGGACACCCTCAAGGTTTTTGAATAATAGCATTTATTGCCAATCTAGTCAAGTATTTAAACTGATGTTCTACCTTGCAGATAGTTATATGTTGTATGTACATCCATTCCTGAGGAAGTGAACAGAGATTCACGAAACGCGTCGAGTTCTAGAATGCTTTTTTAAATTTAATCATGTATTGATACTTAGGATTTGATATGAAATGGAATAATTGCAAACCAATTTGACAGTATTGTATGTTTTCTGTGCGAATTGTCTTTATTTACCAATAAATTTGTACCCATTAGCTGTGTGTGTTGCCCCTCATTTAAAGTCGCAGGGCAAACTAATGTACTTGTGTCCAAAGACATCACTGCGGCTGTGGAGTGGCAACTTAAAGTGTTACTAAACCCCGGACCCTGCATTCACTATATCCGCTCTCCCCGGACCCTGCATTCACTATATCCGCTCTCCCCGGACCCTGCATTCACTATATCCGATTTCCCCGGACCCTGCATTCACTATATCCGGTCTCCCCGGACCTCGCATTCACTATATCCGGTCTCCCCGGACCCCGCATTCACTATATCCGCTCTCCCCGGACCCTGCATTCACTATATCTGGTCTCCCCTGGACCCTGCATTCACTATATCCGCTTTCCCCGGATCCTGCATTCACTATATCTGGGCTCCCCGGACCCTGCATTCACTATATCCGGTCTCCCCGGACCCTGCATTCACTATATCCGGTCTCTCCAGACCCCGCATTCACTATATCCGCTCTCCCCAGACCCCGCATTCACTATATCCGGTCTCCCAGGACCCTTCATTCACTATATCTGGTCTCCAACAGTACACAGAACATGAAAATGCAATTATTTTAGTAAATATAAATTGCTAAATACCTTTTCTCATCAACAGTATTATAGCTGTCTTGTGACTTCAGCAGAGCACTGGTTAAAGCTTGTAGGAGGAGTTTCCTTTCTGCTGTAGGAGGATGCAGAACCCCTGACCTCTGTCTGGACAGTGCTGATTGGCCCTGTGCTGATCACATGCACTCTCTAAATACAAAAAAAAAACTCTCTAGCAATACACATTAAACTGAGCACGTGACCACGGATTCAGTCTGTATCAGGTGGTCATTTCAACAAGAGGAGGGGCAGAGAAGACAGGATCAAACAGCCTTTTTATACAATGCAGAGGATTAACCCCTTAGGTTCCACAGTGAGTATAACAAGCATGCTTTACTGCATCTACAGACTGATTGTACTGTTGTGGGTTTAGTACAACTTTAAACTCAGCATGGCATGTTTAGTCGGCAATAGTAGTTGCCAAACGTGCCCATCATAGCCAACGGGACCTCATTATGTCAATTGCTTGGCATGCAGGTTGCAGTACTGAAATGCGGCAGTATTGCCTCCTGAACGCTTACAATGTCCTCCCTACCTCCCTAAACCCCATCACAACTGTAAATGAGGCCTTAAGGCTCCATTCCTACTCCTGCGTCTCCAAAGTTGCACGATTTCCCGTTCCCTTGGAGTACGACTTTGATCTGCCTTTACCCCCTATGGATTGAAGTTGCATCAAAAGTCGCACCAAAAGTAGGGCAGGTACCTTTACAAAATTGCTGCGACTTTAAATTGCACCGATGTGAACGGGTGCCATTGAAAACAATGGGCCGGGACATGTCAAGTTCAAAGTCACATGGCAAGTCGCACAAGTGTGAATGGAGCCTGAAGTGCATCTTAACCCCCCCCCCTTTATAGATGGAGTGTTTCTGGTATTTTGGAGTTATCACCAAATGCACATTGTAATGCAGATCAGACCGTGCATTCCATGGGCTTTGTGCCTTTTGCTGCCCCAGCTAGGTGTTCCAAGTTGATCTGGAAGAGTTTGGCTGGCCATACATTATACAATTTTCTTGAGATTTTCTCAAGGTATCCAGTTACACAGGCCCTTGAACTACGTAGTCGAAGGTAAATCTAAAGGTAATTGGGCAGAAATTGGACAGAAAATTGTATAGTGTATGGCCAGCCTTATGCAGACCATAGACGGGTTGAAAATCGTCTGGAAAAAAAAAAACTCGGCCGATTTTTGCATTGTTAGTGGGTTAATTGGTTGGCCATTTTTCGGGGTTTTGGCACATTTTTTTGTTATCGGTAAAGTTGGAAAATTCGATTTTGATGATTGCCCGATTTTCCCGGCAATGATGGGCAAATCCGCCAATCGTTTTACTAATAAAAAAATGTGCGCATGAGCTGTGACATGCAAGAAAAAGAAGAAAAAAGAAAAGAAGAAAGAAAAAGAAGAAATCTATTTGTTGCAACAATGTATCTATTTGTATCAAAAAAAAATCTGTATCCAAAATGGATACAAATAGATACAATGTTGCAACCGGAAGACTTTTCATATAAAATATAATAGCGGAGCTCTCTGCAGGGACAGAAGTAATTATGGGGTTAAATGCTGGCCATAGATGGGACGAAAATCGGCCAATTTTTTTACCGTTGGTGGTAACCTCAGCCGATCGAATGACCGATTTTTCCTTTTTTTTATAAAAAAAGGCCGGTTTTCGACCCGTCTATGGCCAGCCTTAGTCCTTCATTTTTAGTAACGAGGTAATTATTTAGTGCATAGTATATTCTTCTTCTGTACAGGCTCTTGAGGTATAAGCTGTGCCTAGCTGAAATGTATATCATGGAAGGAGTTCATGGCACGCCAACGCATCGCACGGTGGAGGGTGTCCCTCCCGCTCCGGACACCCTTTAAAAAGTTCTGAAGGCATGGGGGACGGAGGGACAGGAAGGATCAGAGATCATGTGACCACTGTGATTGGCTGTCACAGTGGTCACATGATCGGGAACTCGATGCATGTGTGTGGTGCGTGGCTGTTAGGGTCCCATGTTTTGCCGCCACACATATGTGTTACATGGGCTGGGACAGGTTAAAAAAAGAAATGCATGTCTTTTCATCCATTGTGGGGTGTTGGGAGACGTTAATGCGTGTGCATCTGTGCGCTGCAATTGAACGGGACTTTGAGTGTAACAAATTCAAATTGGCAGACATGTTATTGCAGAAGAAACACATTTTGGGGGTGTTTTTTTTTTTTTTTAAATGTGAAGCGCTGTTTGTGCTGCGAAACTGAAGGTACGTTCATTCTGTGCGAATGTCGGCTAAATCGAATGGTATTAGTCTATTTTCTTTCCAGGTCGGATGTTACTCATTCATAGGATTGGAGTGAAACAGGAAAATACTGCATTATGGCCACTAGATGGACCTGACAATCATAGTAAATCATTAACTCCATCTAGTGGCCATAATGCAGTATTGCCTGGATTCGTGTTATTCTTAGGAATGAAGAACATCTGACCTGGAGAGGAAATAGTCTAGTAACATTCGGTGTTATTGCCATTTGCACAGAATGAATGTGAATGCAGCTTCACGGGACAAATGTCTCTTCTGCAATAAAGAATTCTTAGCTGGCTGTGTACAATGTATATTATTATTATTATACAGGATTTATATCGCACCAACAGTTTGCTCAGCGCTTTACAATATAACGGGAGACAATACAGCAACAATACAGTTCAATACAAGAGGAATTTGAGGGCCCTGATCCTGGGAGCTTACAATCTAGGATATTGAGCTACCCAAGCATGGGAGTTAAGGCCGGCCATACATGGGCCGATTTCTGAACAATTTTCCATTAGAAAATCGGACCTAAGAATAATCGACCGATTTTCGCTCTGTTAGTGGGACAATGGCACCAGCCGATTTTCGTGCTTCCTCTCCCTTTTTTTTATTGGCATGTTGGAAAATTCCTGAAAAATGACCGATTTTCGAAATCATTGGTGGCACCATTGGATTACAGAATGAACAATGTTTTCGATCGAAAAATCGTTTGGAATTCGACCCATGTTTTGCTTGCTTTAGACATGGGCAGCACAGTGGCTAAATGGTTAGCACTTCCGCCTGGGGCAGTACTCGGGTTGTTGGTTCAAATCCCAACCATGGCACCACCTGCCTGGAGTTTGTATATTCTCCCTGTGCCTGCGTGGGTTTCCTCCGGGTTCCTCCCACACTCCAAAGACATGCTGGTAGGTGAATTGGCTCCTGTCTAAATTGGCCCTTGTATGTGTATGTATGAATGTGAGTTAGGGACCTTAGATTGTATGCCCCTTGAGGGTTAGGGACTGATGTGAATGTACAATATATATGTAAAGTGCTGCGTAAATTGATGGTGCTATATAAGTACCTGAAATAAAAAAAGACATCCCAGCACAGCCAATCAAGATGGCCAAAGATCCAAACTGGGAAAAGACTTTGAAGATGACGGCACCAGCAAGGAGGCTGCATGGCTGGATAGCAGGTGAGTATAGTTCCCGTGTGTTACATTAGGGCAGCCTGTTGATTTGAATGGGCTGCCCACCACAGAAAGAATACATGTACCTTTCTGAAAACACCACAACCAATAAGTTAACATGCGTCGTATTGTGCTACAACGCACGTGTGAGCGAGGTGCAATGGGGGGCAGTTAAGAACGAATAGCACTTCAGAGCACCTACAATAAAAACAGTGATTTTGTGTGTGTTCTCACAGCTGTGAATGGAGCCTACAAAGTCAAGGGTCTATTTTTAAATAAAATTTGTTTGCCAACATTTGCACACACAGGACATGTCCATAATATGTGGAAAATGTATTTCCTGTGTTCGCCAGTACCATCTAGTGGCCAAAATGCAGTATTATCCTGAAATACAGCCATCAGGGAAAAACCAGATTGTGGCCACTAGATGGGGCTGATGGTCATACAAGAAAATGATATTACAAACATTACAAGGATTATTATTTTCGGATACTATTCTATAATGCTCTTCATATACACAGAGGAGACTTCATGAGAACGACTGAGACTCCAGGAGCTCCAAGGATCCTTTCATCGGCTCCAGACGTTGTCGGTCAGAACTGCACGGTGGGGGGGGGGGGTTATGGCTCCATGGCGAGATTATCCACGCCAACCTTCTGGGTGTATTTTTTCTGCCAAGACAAAAGAAACAATTGTAATGGTTTGCAGCCATCGATAGCGTCACCCCTAAACATAGACCGCGACAATATGGCTTCCTGCTTTCATTGTGTCACATGGTACGGTCAGCCATGGAACCAATGGAACTGGTAGAACGCACTCCTGCATGTGAATTCAAAGTGACTCAGCCAAGTTCACACAGGCTTCGATTTTTTTTTTTATTTTAAAGTAGCCTGTAACCACTAGCCTACAGAGCACTTCTACCTCCTTCCTGCACAGGCCAATCTCCAGCTGTCAGCGCTGTCACACTTTAAATGACAATTGCGCGGTCATGCAACACTGTACCCATATGAAATGTTATCATTTTTTTGAGACAGATAGAGCTTTATTTTGGTGGTAGTTAATCACCTCGGGGTTTTTTTATTTTTGGCTAAACAAACCAAAAACAACTGAAAATTTTGAAAAAAAAAAAAAGTTTTTTTCTTAGTATTTGTTATAAAATTTTGTAAATAAATGATTTTTCTCCTTCACTGATGTGCGCTAATGAGGCTGCAGTGATGGGCACTGATAGGTGGCACTGATGGGCATTGACAAGCATCACTGAAAGGATGCACTCATATATGGCACTGATAGGTGGCACTGATAGGCGGCACTGACTGGCACTGATAGGCGGCACTGACTGGCAGCACTGATAAGTGGCACTGATAGGTGGCACTGACTGGCACTGATAGGGGACAAAGAAAAGCAGCTCAGATGGGCACTGATTTGTGGCATTGATGTGGCACTGATGGGCACTGACAGGTGGCACTTCTGGGGTTACACTGATCACCAGGGTACACTGATCATCAGTGCCCTGATGATCAGTGTAGATGTCCCCTCTGAGGAATGCCGATTACCGGCTCTCCTCTCCTCTGTCAATGTGACAGCTTGTGAGGGTAGAAATGCCGATAACCGGCATTTCCCTGTTTTCATGCCATCAGCTGTGATTGAACA